GCTGGTTGCCTGTTGGCATGATGACTTTACCTTCCCATGTGATAGATAGAGCTGTCCAAATTTGTGTTCTGTATGTGCAGTTTGTTTGGTTTGATGAGCTGTCAGATTTAGATTTAAACTCTCTACCATCACTATCACCCCATGCTACCTCAGATCCTTCTTATTAGGACTGTCAGGCACACTCGTTCATTACATTTTGGAGGACTGGTTTATAGTGACAAGAGGCCATTACTTATGGTGGCGTTTAGTCAGGCCTCTTTGCTGCAGTATAAATGTTCATTTTGCAAAATTGGAATGCAAGTTTGGCTAAGAGCTCTTACCTCTCTGCTATGGCTTGCTGAACTATTTGCATGTTATGAATTGGAGCCCTAAGTCATGCTCATTTAATCAGTCACTCCAGTGCAAATACTGATGAAATCGCCGAGTGATTTCTTTGGCAAATGTCAAATCATGCTTTGCAACTCAGATTGCATGCACTTGTCCTTTGGGGTATAACCCCTACTTTTATTTCATTCCTAAATAATTTATTTCATGATTGGAGGACTATGAATAAAATCAACAATATTTTTTGGTTTTACTTCAAATCCTGAAGAGAGTTGCTCAGGACATGTATGCATAATAAGGAAAGAAGACACTGATCAGTTGTTCAAAAATAAAATTACTGTGATACTTAATGTATTTTCCTTTATCAAAAGTTGTTGTCAACCATTTAATATTTTAGAATACCTTAAGTTATAAAACCAATGCTGTTTTTTAACAGTGGAAATCCAATCCTCTCTCTTAATCTTTGCATAATTGTAGCCTTGAAAAAGATTGTATGTAGGTAAAAATACATTACTGAATCAATGCAAACTGTCCTGTACTACTAGGAGATTTACTTCAAAGCAAAGGTATAGAATATTACTGCTTTTTCAGTGGGAAGAGTTGCAGTAGGTATCTACCTTTGTACTCCATTGACAACAGGTATGACTGGTTCTGTTTCACCTACCACCTACCTTCCACAACATCTAATAATGCATGACTTTTTGACAGGCTGGTTTGTCTTATTAATGCAGAGGAAGGCTACCCCTGACCCTGACCCCTGAGTTATTTTCCTGTAGCGTTATCAAGCTGAGGTATCTCAGGAAATTATCAGATGAATATGGGAACTGGTGAAATATGGTGGGTGTGGGTTTGTGTGTTTGAGGACGTAGAATGACACATCCCTCTTTCAGCAGCAACAAATAAGTAGAATATGTAATGTGACTCTAAATATGCTGGATTTCACATCGGTACAAGTTGCTGCTTCCTGAGGAGAGTTTTCTTCTAAATAAATCTTCATTCAGCTCTGCGACCAGGTATTCTCTGTGCCGTTGCTAGCTTCTCCCAGGTTGGCATTTGCATTGTGGGATGTCTGTCAGATGTAGCTGTGGTGCCAGCTTCCGTGTTCTGGAATCTTTTAACTTTCCATGATTGAGTATTGTCTCTTGCTGCTTTCAAAGTCTGAAAAGACTGTTGTAGATAAAACCAGGCTTCCTGTTGCCCTGAGCATAACTGAGAATATGCAGTGACAGTGGCTGATCTACAAAACTGCAGCTGTGGTGGCATGATGGTTTGGTGGTCAAAAGAGGATGAGGGCGAAGCAGCCAAGAGTTCTTTTTTATAGAAACCCCCTAGGAGTGTTACCTGTGCAGGAGGAGTCCATAGGCAGAAAGGGGACGTTATGATTACATGGGTGTGGCCATGACTCAAGTTACTTAGGTTTTTTTTAGACTCTTAAATGAAGGGAGGATGCATATTTCTGGCTTACTGCCACTGTTCAATAATGGGTTATAACTTCAACATGTATAAATGGGAAGCACAGGATTGAATAGTTCCCCAAGGAGTTATTTTTAGGGAGAAAGTTTAATAGAGTGAACATTGGGGGGTTTTCTTTTTTTTTTTTTTTTTTTTTCTTTTTTTTTCTTTTAAAAACCCACAACCAACCAACCAAACAGCACCTGCAGTTGAACAAGAGTTCTTAGATTACTCCCTGCAGCAGCTGTTTTGTGAACTTACAATATCTCTGGGAAGAAACAAACTGTTTCAGCTCAAACTGTTGCTGTGCTTCTCTGCAATATTTAGGAGACTTCTGCCTAAATAGGGGAGTATTCAAAACGGATGCTTAGACTTCTTGGTGATTTGCTTAGAGAACAATGCAGTTAGGAGTTTCTTGACAAGGTTTGTGAATGTAGCAATCACAATGATCATCTTTTAAAGTTGTAGGGTCCTTCAAGTGACTTGTGAAAATGTAGTAAAGTTTTCATGGCACCTAACACTTTTCAGAAAAATAACCCCACCTTATTTGTTATTTACATGTAAGAATAATCTGTCTGAAGTCCAATGAGAACAATTCTGGGAGGTTTTCATTAGTGGAGGTCTAGTAAAAGTCATGCATATGAATAGTGTAGAGAGGAGAGCATGTTCTGGTACAACATTAGGAAGGCAAGGAGAAGGAAAAGTAGAATTTCAGAGTTTAAGTTGTGAACTTCATGGTTGTGCATTCTGTATCAGAGCTGAGCTGTGCAGTTGCTGGCCCTGCTTATGTTTTGGGAAGAAATTGTCTTATACTATTATATTGTTTTCAAAGGAGCATAAAGAAAAGGTTGAAATCTTGACAGCTGTGACAAAGTCCAGTGCCATAATGTGTCACCAGATAAGTGATACTGTATAGTCTGTGGCAGTCAGCAAAGCATAGCAGCCACTATTTATATGTCAACTGTAAAAGAGAGGAAGTGTTACCCGAAGGGGAGAGAATATCAGAATTTGACAGCCTGGTAGACATCTAAGGTTAAATGTTATCTTTTGAATATATTTAATTTACACATTTTATGTATTGAGATCTGAAATTCCAGCCTTTAAATGCTCATTTTGTTACTTTATGGCACTTAAAAACATTGTGCCTAAGAACAGAGCAAAGTTTCTTGCAGGAGCAGATGATGTTAAAGGTTAGATCATAATTTTCAGTATCTGATTTATACTGTGTAAATATGTAGGTGCATATGTAGCCAACAACAGGAGAGATGAATTTTGTTAATTTCTTAACTTAAAAAAAAGTTGACTTTCAGTAATAATTTTTATATTACTTGGATTTCTCCTCTATTATATAAAATTATTTTACTATTTCCTAGGCTTGCTGTTCTTTGTAAGTTCTTGTTTCAATTTAAAACTTTAAATTAAAACCTTGTTTGTATGTCTCCATGAGTAGTATACTTAATGCATGGCAAGTAACTCTGTAGGTATCGGGATTGTTTTATTTTCCCCCTTTTCCTACCATAAATTGTTTGTCCTTTGAGCATTTGTTTGTGTTTTGTAACTGTTTCACAACTCTTCCTTCCTGTTCCAAGTGATATAAAGGGATAATAGAGCAGAGATACTTCTATAGTTATTTTAATGATCTTGGAAGAATGGAAGTTGTTAGCCTTCAAACAATATTTTCAGCTTGGTGTTTATGGGGAACAGTATGATTTGAATCAAAGGCAACATATTTTTCTCCTCTCAAGAAAATTGTCAGTATCTTTTTTTGCATTCTGAAGTCTGTGTGAAACTTTCCATTGAAGTGTGAATTAAAAAGGTTTGTTTAGATGACTAAAAAGATCACTTTCTATGATTTCACAATTAGTTTTAAGTGTTATAGAGACTATAGGTGATAATACCTTGATGCTATTTCATCCATTCTATCTGCTGTTGGTTTTGTGTAAAATTGGTAGTCACACCTGGTGCCTGGATCCCTAGATCAGGGGAACCGTTGCACAGGAAGATGGAGAATGTGCTTTTCTCTCCTTGATCTTACTTCAGCCTGCTCATAGGGCAGAATGGGAGGCTTTTGAGGTTATGGCATGCTTTTGTGCTGCGTGTTGCAACTGCACTGCTTTATGTTGCTTTTCACAACCTTCCACTTGTACCTATCCTAACTTTTCTTAGAAGAGCTTTGCCAACTATAAAGAACCTTTTGCACCTTTTAAAAATAGGTGTATGATACATGAATGGGTGGTGTGGAGTGTGGGAGGGTTCATCTCAGAACTGGCAGTTGCAACTTAGAAGAGGATCCTGGGCTTTCCCTGAATTCATGGATTTGATAGGCTTTGGCAGCCAAACGTGTCAACAGCGGGCCAGACAATGTCAGGAAGGGAATTGAAAATAGGATAAGAAGGATTTGGTGTGACCTGGTCTTGAGTATGAAAGTTTTGAGAAGCCTTGTGAAACATTGGTGTACCCTTTTTTTTTTTTTTTGAGTGTTGTCAATTCTGGTCTCTCCTTAGAAAGAATATTAGAGCAAGTAGAGAGGAGCAGCGAAAATAGTCATAAGATCAGCTGTCTTCCTGTAAGAGATGCAAAAGATTGCAACTTCAGCATGTGGTACCAGGCAGGCTGCACCGTTTAACATCTGTAATCCAAAAGCTATAGTTCTCGAGGGAACATGATGGGGATGGACAGCAGAAAGTGCCCAGGCTTGCATGCTCTTCTTCTGTAGCATTTCCTGTTGCTGCTACCGAGGACCATTGATCTGACCCCGCAGTGCATTTCATGTGTCCTTAGAGGAGAATGTCACAGATACTTGTCTTGGACTATGACCTGAATGGGGAAGTTAAGTAAATCGCTCCAGTACTTCTGTGGGTAGGTAGTGATTTTTGTCTGTTGAGAATTTGGTTTATTGCTTTGGAAAGAGTCAAATGATAACTTATTCAAGGTTCCTTTATAGGGCATTTGGTGGCATGTTTTCTCAGCTGCAACTTTTGAGCATTATTTCTGTATTTTAATTAGTGGATTATTGCAAGGTAAAATTCAGTGAGGTACTACTGTGAAATTTGCATGAAGCTAATAGGACCTATTTTTTTCTTTCATTTATTTTGAATGGGTTCTGTTTTTACAAACTTCATACAGTCATTATTTCTGAGGTTAAAAGCCTGTTTTGTTTTGTTTTGTTTTTTTTTTCCCTCCCCCCCTCCTTTTTTTTTTTTTTTTTTTTTTTGTTTTAACAGGTTCTTGAAGATGCAGAGGCTCAACACTTGTTTCAGTCCATTCTTCCTGATATGGTCAAGCTGGCACTCTGTCTCCCTAGTATCTGCACCCAGGTAAGTAAAACCAGCTAGCTAAGTGCTCTGTGTCAGACCACTTTTCTTCAAACTCACTAATGGCTAAGATCAAGACATCAGGATCATGTTATGTTCTTAATAAAAGGTATAGTTCTTGTGTTGAATGTAGCTGAGGCCTAGGGAGCAAAACGGACAACGCACATCTATAATTATATAATAGAAGGTAACAAAATATATTGCAGTGTCATATTTTCAGCCTGAACTTCAGTAACACCTTTTTTTCTATGTGCTGGAGTTGCTTCTTCCTTTTCTTAAATGAAATGACCATGAAAACTTTCAGGTTTGAAAACCACACTTAAAAATTGAAATACTTGAATACTCTTAAAACACCTAACTTTTTATTTTAGGATTTTTTTATAATCCTAGGGGTAGTATTTTCATAAAGCCTTTGTTTACTTGGGAGGACTTCCTCGGTAACATCACAATACTTGCACATATACAAACCTTAACTAATTCTTTACTATTGTTATGGGAATCAGTTCTGTAGGTAGTAAAGCTGATGTAAATGAATAGGACTGATCAAGTGAGGATGTATGATATGTAACACATTACCGGGGTAACAACTAATTTGTGAGCACCTTTGTTACAATTTTCTAAAATAGTTCTGTTGGACACAAGCAGAGAAGGTCTCTCCCTTCTTTGTTATGCTGTATGGGTCCTACAGTAGGAACATAACTTCAAACAATATGAATATTTCTTGTAAATTTCTTTACTAGTCACTTGATGGGGGAGTTTTTAGCAGTGCTGTGAAGTTTCTGAACAAAGTCAAGCACAAGACTTGCAAGTTCATGTAGTAATGCCTTTCACAAAGATGATGTACAGTTAGGTAAATTGTGAAGAACTTTGTCAGGCTTGTGTTTTGGTTAGACATAAAGCTAAATTTGTTCCATTATGACATACTGTCCAAAGTACCCTATTTTTATGGGCTTGTAGAACTTGAGAGGGCTTCTTAGGCTTTTTTCCATCTCTAGCTATGTGACTTCAGACATCATAATACAGCTTGTTAATTAAATAGCTGGAAGACAGAATGGGATTCAGTGAATGTGAGTGTAGTAGTTGTAAGAATGAAGGAAAACTTGTTTGGGTTTTTTTTTGTGAAATAAACATTGCTGTGTATTCAACAGTCTAAATTAGCAGCAATTTCTGTATTCACAACTAAAAGGATTAAAATGTAGCTGCTCAGCTCTCCTGGAGCTAGAGTAATGATGATGGCTGAGAATATTGGAAGAAGAGATGAAAAGTGTGTTCTCTTTGTCCTGTCAAGTGTGTTTATTGTAATTGTTACTGGACTCCTTAGCAGTCAGAATGGTGGGGTTTTTACCCCTCTAGTATTATCACATAATTTAAAAAAAAAAAAAAAAAAAAAAAGCCGTGAATGTGGTGAGTGAAAATTCCAAATCAGGTGGCTAAAGCCAAAGCCTGATAAAATGGAAGATGCATAACACTTCGGGTTGTTTTTTGGTTCCCTCTGCCTCTTTGTTTCTTTTTATATTAAAAAACCCCTTACCTAGAGTCAAATAAAACTCCAAACTGAAGACCAAAGTGAAGCTGAGCTTTTTGTTCATTCTGATTATAAAAGAACAGATAATTGTGTACTTTCTGCAGATATTATCAATGTTCTTTCTTCCAATAGGATGGAAAAAAATTGAAAGCAAGTCACGATAGATGGTCTGTGGCGTGACTTCCATGTTTCTTTGTGAATTATAAAGCACGGTTATTGTAGCTGGAAGTATATCTTCAGGGTTCTTAACCATACAGCTCTTGAAAGTGGGTTTTTACTTTAGTTGTTAAGGTTGCCCAGGATTTGCAACATCCCATCTATTTTTTTTTTTTTTCCCCTCTCCATTCCCTATGGTTTTGTTTGATAAGTTGTGTTTTCTTGGTCTTTCTTTTTATTACTGATTAGAAATCTGCAGTCTGTCAAGCAAGCTTTTTCTAAATTGTCTTCAATAAACTGTTCTTGACTTTAATGGTGCTGCTGATTAAAGGGTTCACCAACGGCCTAAATTACTCTTACTCTAATTTCACAAATGTAATTTTGTGCTCCTGTTTTTTCCTTTAAATGGGTAAGCTAATTATTTTTCTCTCTCCTTCCCTCCCTTCTCTCCTGCCCCTCCCCCCCTCACTTCTTTTGTTGGTAGCCAATACCTCTGCTGAAACAAAAGATGAATCACTCCATCACAATGTCACAGGAACAGATTGCTAGTTTTCTAGCCAATGCTTTCTTCTGTACTTTTCCACGTCGCAATGCGAAGATGAAGTCTGAGTATTCTAGTTATCCAGACATTAACTTCAACAGGTATGGCACTCTGGAGTAAATAAAGCTGATAGCTCTTCAGTGAAAATATTATTGTTGTCATTTAGGGGAGAAACTCATTGTTTCTTTCATGTTTCTGTCACTAATTTCTGTATTTTGCTTTTGTTTTTTTTCTGTTTACCTCTAAGGGACAAGAAAACTATACTAAGAAAGGATCTTGTGCATGGGAAGATATGCTTAATATTCCAAATTTTTCTTTTTTTCGTGCATGCACATGCACAGACACATTTTTGCTCTGGCATAATTAGGCTGATACAATTCCCTACCTCTGCAGAATCCATTCATTAGTGAATGGTATATTTCAGTTGTGCTTCAGGTGTTCTATATGTATTTAAAGTGAAGGTCAGTGTTTCCCCAGCCATGTTTCTGTTGTCTTTGTGTCAGCAGTGGTGATCTGCACATTAAGTCAGATCAATAGGACTTGATTATTCAGCATCCTTACAATCTCTTATTATTTTAAGGCAGTTGTAGAGCTGCATGTTAAAATAAACCTGTCCTTTTTGCTTCAAGTTAGCCTAAAAAGGTTTCAAGACTATAATAATTTATTAAATATACTCTGATTTCTAAATAAATGCTTATTTTTTTCCTCAACACTAGTTTACAAACAGATATGATTAGAAATGTTTCTTCACATCTTTTAAACATGCTTATTTGAATTTTAAATGGGAGAAAAGGATGGAGACATTTCCTGCTGCAGAATATTATGGTTCATATGGACTTGTAGATTAGAAATCAGTTTGTCATCTTCTGGGCACTTCCATACAAGTCTATGTAGGTCAACCTTAAGTTTATTAGGCTAAAGCTTGGATAGATTATTGATCTAGAGTTTTTTATTAGTCCTCACAGTTAACATATGTAGTATATATGCTCTGAAAACTGAGATGAAATATAAAAATACTGTTACCTGTGGTCCAGCATGCTTAGGTACATGTATCATAAGAGCTATATTAGACTAGAACTTCCTAGAATAAATTGTCAGGCAAACCGATGTACTAGTAATGGTTATGGTGCTTGCTGTCTTCAAGGACTGGCGTGGGTTTCTCTATACTGTATATTTCAGGAGACCAGGGTCACTGTCTTGGTGTTTATTCCAACAGTACAGTGGGATTTGGAAGACTAAGTGTGGGTAGGCATTAATGTGCCATACAGTTCAGCATATTCTTCCACCATTAGTTCATGCAAACAAATAAATGAAAAGTGCCATCCATGTATTTAAAAAGATTTATGTTCAGAGCATTGAAAGAGGACAGTAAAGTTCTGAAGGAGTTCTGCTTGTGCCTGCTATGCAATTCTAGCTGAATTTTGTTTGTTTGTTTTATTTTGTTTTGGTTTTTTTTAAAGGACTTAAAGGTACCAGTTTCTGTTGGAAGTTAAGCATGTTATAAATCAAGCAGTTAAATTCTTACCAGCTACAGAAAAAAATGCTGTTAAATCACTGGAGTAAATTCATATTTTCTTCTATGAACATTGCACAGCAATGTAAAGTGACAGTAGTACTGTGTAATACTGGTGGTTTACTCAGGGCATAATATTTTGAACTACTTTTAAATAAGCATTGGCAAATTATTAGGTAAATTGTTCCCTGCTGTAGACTTAAAGAATGACCAATACAAACTACTCAGGATTTTTTGCCCTATTCCAGCCAGTCCTCCTTTGTTTTCTGACTTGGCTTCCTAGTGCTATCACTCATAGTAAATTCCAACAATGTTATTTAAAAAGGGTAATGCAGCTGACAACCTTTAGGCCTTTCTCTTGCATTATGGATGAGGAAATGCTCAGCATTTAGTCACATAAGGTAAAAAGCCATTTTTATTTGTGTAAGTTCAGTAATACTGTTGCTGAGAAAAAAAGGGAAGCTGATTGTCCTCCGGTTCTTGAGGACTAAAAGTAGCTTTTCCTCAGTGTTTGCCACTTACGTGGTTTTTATATAATTACAGTTTCCTTGTTTCACTTAACCATTTGTTGAACCAAAATTTCACCTGCAGTCTCTGTGTGACCCCAACCACCCCCCATGTATTTTGCATTTGATAATGAGCAGATTAGTGGAGTAGAATATGAGGTGTGGCAGGCAGTGGATAAAAAAAAAAGGGGTAATGTGTCAGTGATAAGGGATTGGCAGGATAAAAGCAAAAGGAGATTAAAGAGAGTGAGTGATGCAGAGGATGCTACAAGAATTCAGTTTTGTATCATGCTACTGTATGTAACCTGATTTAGTTGAATTGTAAAATGAGGGGGGAGGAGGATGGATAGTATCCTATTTCTATTTCCTCCTATCAATACTTAACTTTCTCATCCTGAGAGGTTAGTTATTTAGTAGCAGGGACAGAGAATAAAATGGCATGTTTTCAACTACTGTTTCAGACTTGTAAAGACAGCAGGCTTTGGGCCATTGCAGTGTGTATTTTCAGCTTTTACAAAGAAGCCTTTCATGAAGCTGGATATGCTCAAAAGGCAATGACTGAAGTTAAAGTGTTTGTGACTTTTCTTTATAACAATGCTTTGATGTTTTGGAGGCTGCTGCTCCGCTCTTTCTGCTTAGGGATGGATGTAACAAACTGTTCTACACAGCAACCCTTTCTACCCACAGTAGGGTCATCTTCAGCTTTTTCCAGACTTGGTTCTTCCCTCAGCATAATTCATCTGCTACGTGGCTGTGAATTAATTACATAGTTTTTTGGGTACAAAAAAATAATCTGCTATGGTTCCCTAATGAAGCAAAATTACTGAGTGGATGCTAGAATTTGAGGGATTTTTTTCATTAGCAAATGTGGTGTTCCTTGATTCCACTATGCATGCCCTTTCTGTGGTCATACAAAAGGTCTCCACCTTTCTCCTCAACTCTGAGTCTGAAAAAACTAAATTTGTGCCTTAAGTTAGAAACAGCTGTATAAGCTGTTTCTTTCTTGTGTTTCCAGTTTTACACAACAGTCATTTGTCAATTCACTTCATGCAGATTTAAACATTAGTACCTTTTTATACACTGTAAAATAGTTACAGTTCCTGTATTTAGATGCTGTCATGTTCCCTCTTCCCTCCTAGCCTTCTCCCTGCTTTAGATTTTTTTTATGTGGTATTAACTAGCATATTGTGACTTCTACCCCTACTCCTCCCACGATACAAATCTGTTTGACAAAACAACAGAGTCAGTGCAAGATACTGAGAATCTATTTTTTTTTTTTTTTTTTTCTTTCTTCCCCCCTCCACCCCGCCCCTCTTCCCCCTCTATTAAGCATTTTCTGGTGCACCAGTGCTTGGCAGTGTTACTACCATGATGATGGCAAGTTGTTTGAATAAGGGTATGTGTGCTAGTAACTGCGACTGATTGGAAGGGAGGCCGTTGTGCATGTTAGTATTAACATAAGTCATCTATGCTTTGCCTCTCCTCTCCTGCCTGTTAATCTTGTCAGATGAGAGGAGAAGAAAAATAAGCATTCCTCTTTTGACACTGACACACTTAGTATAATAGTATGTTGTGACACCGACTGTCTATTTTGATTGTTCGTTATGCTGCTGACTGAAAGTTGCCAGTGTATAATGAATTCTTGCCTTTCATACTTGGCAAGGATGGGCCTATTGTGATTCTTAAGTCATTAATAACAAGTAATTTCAGATGTAGTTAATAAAATGGCATTCATAGTTTAACTTTGAGAGCTTTAATATTTATGAATTCTAGTAGATAGAATGACATCAATTCAGTGGCTAAACGCTAGATCATATTAAATAGTGTAAAATACTGCTTCTGTTCAAAATATCAAGGTAAATTTAGAGTTCGATTTCTCTTTTTAAAAACACTTATATAAGATGGAAATAGATTGGGCAGCTTTATGCAAGAACAACCCATCACAAAAGAAAAGTAAATTTGCCATTTTCTTCCTCTTAGTGATAAATTTTCCATGGAAGTTGCATGTGGGTTGAATGTAGAGCATGGATTGCATTGACTCTTCTGAGATTGTCTCTACAATGATGACGCTGATTGCAGAGTTTAAAGTAGTTTCCTATGGTGATGCTCGTAATTAATCTTCTTTGTGCATATTTTGTGGTTTAATGTAGCACTTCCATAAAAAGATATATTTCTCTTGAAATATATTAAAGGTAAGATTAAACCATGCTTTCTTGCATTTATTGTTAGTAACATGCTGAAATGTGTACCATCCACTGTCACACAAGGCTTTGCACTGTGGTGGTCTTTCTTCTCTCCCCCCCGCCCCCAATGATGACGTTAACAGACCTATGTCTTAACATTAAAATTTGGTAATTTAGGAAACTACCTAGTTTTATTATATGTAAAATCAAAGTATAAGGAAAAAAAAGACTTCTGTAATAGAGTAGTGTTCTGGATGACTGAAAATGAGACGGGTTTGTCAAGACCCACTCTGCTTTTGCTGTGTTTTTGTCCTGCTATGGATGTGTTCTTAGCTGTTGTGTCAACTTACAATAACTCATCTGATTTCCTTTTTCAAAAACACTGCTGTAGTTAAACTGGAGATACTATGCATCAGTGATATCTCCCATCAAAGCATTTGAGATTGAATTAATAACTGAAGGTAGTATGTCTAATGACAAGCCTGGTGAATCTTTTGGCACATATATTAGTGGATGTTCTGGTTTAAAAAGTCATTATTCTACTAGGACTGAATTTCTTTCATCTATCAGACAAACCTTTAAAGTAATTTCAAGTGACTGGAAATGAGGGGAGAAAAAAAACACTAGTTAAGATATAGATATCTTTCATGGAATGCATAATATATGAAAGGAAATGGGCAACCTGTATAGTACGTTTATGCAGGAGAATTGAAATCTAATTTACCAGTAATGCAATTGTCTCTTCATAAACAACATTAATTTTGCAACACTAATGAGTATTCTTTGGGGAATAAATTATCTAGTGACTTTGAGAGATGCATTGCTCCTCTGAAAAGTGGTTCTGGGTTTTCTGAGTTTACAGACACCAATCCTCCAAAACTGATTCTGATATGCCTGCC